AATAATGTATCACTAAATTAAGAGAAATCTTTGCTGGGGGATTCAGCACTGTAGGAAATCTGAGTTTTCTAAAAAGATGAGTAGGAAGCTCTGCTGTAATGATTGTCCAATTTCTTTGGAAGACTCAGATTCTGGAGAGAATCTGGTTCCAAGTCCAACTGCCAAGTGGAGCTCTCCCACAACAATTTTGGAGGAACTGTAGGATTATGGTTGAGGATGGTGATGATACAGTAAGTCATCAGGTCTGTTCTCTTCCTTCTGTCTCCTCCTTTTCTCTGGCTCTGTATTTGCCAATAGTCTAGAAAAGCTTGTGGTCACAACAAGAATTGTGTATTTCACACTAGTGAGGTGGGCATACTGCAAGTGTCTAGATTTAAAAACGAAGAGAAAGGATGGCTGTGTTGTAATGTGGACTGTTGGAATGTCAAAGAGGAGGATCTTCACTCTCTGGTAAGGTTGTCCAATGGTTAGGAGTCCTATGTTACACTTAAACATGTTTTCCTGCATCTAATATTGATTGTGAATAGTACCAGTATAGAATTTTATTAAAAAACGTTCACTAAGTCATTTCGTGCCAGAAATAAATAGTAAAGAGCTGAGATTTATTTCCACTATGCAGTTCTGCAGGAGAAACTGCAGAACAAGCACTACTGTAATATGTTAAAGAAAGTCATGCAAAATATCCTGGAATATAATGAAAAGGGGGCATGTATGTTCTATGCTTAATTTATGCTAGAGCCCACTGCTTAGACTGCAATCCAGTAACTAAGCACAGCACAGGCCACTCCGCGGGACTGGAAACATTTCCGATGTTCATTTACAATTTCAAAAATAGCTGGAAAAAAAGTCTACGGCTGTAAAAAATGGAGACTCATGATTTGCTGCACATGTAGTCAATGGAGATTGCAGAAATGCTCATGACCTTTTCTGTCCAAGATGTTGTGTGACCTCACCTGCATTCAGGAGCTCCCATGACCTTTGATGCACATCGGCCCAGGGGTCACATGAGCTCTGCTGCAATGTACAGTATCACAACAGTGGTCCTACAGCCCAAGGGTCACGTGACCTTTGCCGCACTGCTACCCTGAGGTCTTGTGGTGCAGCCCTGTACACTGTCTCTCAAGTAGAAATGAAAGTAATGGAAATGACTTCAAAAGAAATGGAACACCAGTTCATTGGTCATACTGCATTTGCATTGTTATAAAAATAGCAGGTCAGCAAACAGCCAAGCAACAGGCTAAATTTGGGTTCTTTTCACAACAGCAGCTCTGGTGATAGAGTAATAAATTAGGCTCAGTCTTGGACACAATTAAGAAATATTAACTTTAAAGTAACTCAAATATAAAAATAATTACACTATGACACATTTGTGCTGTTTAAGATAACTACTTCCTGCTACCCCTGTACTCCAAATACACAATTACTAAAGGTCTGAAAGGTCAGAAACCTGACTATTACCCCCCTTCTGCAAATTGCACATCTTTCCTTTTTCTAAAACAAGTATTTACACAATTCTTGAGAACTTCCACCTTCTTGGTATCTGAGACCCACTCATATCTTTGGTTGAACATGTGAACCATAAGTGCTCCTGGATCATGGTATATTTCACCAGTCCCCTGCAGGTTCAAGGAGATCACAGCAATGATGTTTCTGAATTAAATCATGTTTGTTTTTAAAAAATGCAGATTTTAACTCAAAAAAGAGGAATACAAGGATCTTTCTGGAAAACAATGTACTGTTATTAAAAATATGGTTTTAAGAAGCCTCAAAGCTGATATCAACATTTCAGAACCACGCTGCCAGGGGAGAGATGGCAGAAGACAGATGTGTTTTCAGTAGCAATTAAAATTTCTTATATGCACAACCTATTCCACACCTTCAAAACAAAAAAGGAAATTGATAATAGAAACATACAAATGTCATGATTGGAAAAGTGTGCCAAAATCTTTGCAATTGCAAGATGAATTCAATTTAACTGCACAACCTTACCTTGAATCACACAATTTCTTGAGTGCCCACTATCCCTGTGCAATAGTAGTAGCAGCTCACATGACTTCAGATACATAGATACATCTATGACTACTGTGAATTTCAGGCAGGTTCAACCAGACCAAAGAGCTTTCACAATTCAGGAATAAAGTTGATAAAGGCACAGCTCAGAGGAAGGGTATAAAAAACCATTTTAAAGAGACTTTATATCTCTTTCAGCGTGGTGAAATCGATCATTAATGCATGGAAGGGGCCAAGACACTGCCTAGATCAGTCTGTCCCTCTGACCTGAACAGCCAAGGTGGAAACCAGTTAGGGAAACCACTGAGGCTAATGGTGACTGTAAAAGAGTTACAGAGTTCACTGGAAGTGAGCGAAAATGTCCACAAAGAGGGATTGTACGGAACTTAACAGAACACATCTGAAATCCCACATCAACAACAAAGCGCTTAAGTAATAATTGCAAACATTAAAAGATATTGTGGCCAGACAACACAAAATTGGTATTTCTTGCTCTTAATGTTATAGTTCTGCTTCTCATCACCAGGGACTGAGAAGCTGAGAAGACTGCTAGAGCAAAATACAGGCAACCCTTGGAGGAAAACCTGCTTTAGAACTGCCACAAACTAACCTTTCAGCAGGACATAGATCCAAAGCAGAAGGCCAAAGCTATATTGGAGTGGCTTAGGAATAAGGTGAATGATCCCAAGTGGCCCAGTCAAAGTCCAGCCTCAAATCCTATTGGGAATCTGTGGAAAGGCCTGAAACCTGCTGTCCATAAGAGACCCCATAAACCTAAGAGAGCCCGAGATTCTCCCAAGAAGAATGGGCAAAAACTGCACCATTGCAGCCAAAACAATGTCTTTGCACTTTGCACTCTCCCCCACGACCAACGCATCACTTGGCCTACAAACATGCTAAACGACTACTCTACAACTACTCTGAGCTTGACCATTTAAATGAAAGGGGTGGCATTCTTCAGAAGGTTGGCTGTTTCCTAAATTCTGTCAAGCGAAAAGTGAAAAACACACAGGAGGGATGAGGCAGGAGGGGGGAAGGGGGGAGGAGGGGTAGGGTGGCTGGGGGGCAACAGGGGCAGCCTCAATTTAGGTTTCCAATGGCCCTGCTGTGCCTTTAATGCAGGCTTGTATGTAATTGGTTCCCAGAAGGCTGTTCATTATTGGAAACTGAAGCAGGGGAAAGAAATACCTCATTCCACGCTGAATAAAGGCACCCACTTGCTTTATCTGTGCACGATTACTGGATTGCAGCTAATTAAAAGCACAGTTGATGCTTCTGTTTACCTCATCAATCTCACTTCTCCACTTATTAAGTTTGTAATGACAGTTAGCCCTTCCCCTGAAGCACCGAGGGAAAGAGGGAGGAGGAAGGCAGACACTGAATTCAACCACACCTTTCTGCTACATAACCTCCACTAATAAAATTCATGCATGTATACAAATAATTATGATTAAATAATATACATATATAAACACATACACAAACACATCATCACCACACATTAAGAGTGAGTACTTCCTTTAAACTTTCCTCTCCCCATCCCTGAAGTCCCTCAGAGCATCTCACTTCAAACCATTTCAGCTAGATATAACAAGAGAGGCAGCTCTGTGCTATATCCATTCTAACAATTCTATGTACATGTATAATGCCACATGCCTTCAACTCTCACCATCTCAGCTGCTATGCTCGGTAGAAACCTTTATGAAAGCTTGCCAATCAGATCAAGGAGTTCCAAATGTCAAACAATGCTGGAGCTTTGTCCACCAACATGCTCACACTCAAGCTAATTTTGTGTCTAGTGGAGTTGGTAGGAACACCATATTCATCCTCAGTGGAATCAAGACTACAATATCACATTTAGTCAAAAGAAATTCATCTACAACAAAATAGCAGATACCAACTTCTAGTGTCTACTATATTTGTCTATATACTATATAGTGTATGCACTTGCTCCTATCATATGCATTTGCCCATTTGCTCCCAGCTAACAAGCAAATTGTCTTAATACAGAAAAACTGCTCTTTCTCGTCATTTCCAAACTGTACATTGATATCATTCATTTCAACTGTAGTGAGCCTGAACTAGTTTCAGAGTTGTTAATGCATTGGCTATGCGCTTTACTACACACTGAACATTTTCACTGATTTCTATTAGTATTAGTTACCCTTTAACACCTACAGGCCAACTCCAACACTCAGTTCCTCCATTACAATTGCAACTGCATTCATTCCCCCCTTTGATGGCCAAAAACAGAGATGAACTGTCCGCAATTTCCACAAAATCAAATACATGGACAAGTCAATCCAACACCCCCACGTCCCCTGAAAGACACAGAAGACCTGAACACCCACACAAACTGAAGCACAAGAAAACATTTGGAAAAAGAGTTGAAGACATTGCTTTGTTTTGCAAAAGAGGGTCATCCATCATAATTATAATTAGAAAGTGTCACTTCACCTTTCTGCCTGATCAGCGACTGATTAAATATGCTCCGCTGTGGCAAGTAATTGAATTGTGTGTGGAACCTAGGGGCTGCTGTAAGAAGGGAATTAATTAAGTACAGGTCTGTCCGACTACTACCGCTACTAATGAGCAAATCTGAGTTCAGAGTTAAGTATCTAGATTAGTTTCAGTTACATTTCCTTCTATTTTAGTCTTTAAAAATATTGATGGTCAACACATTTCCTATGATTAAACACTCCCTCTGTACCCTAGCATCATTCTCCCCAGGGGCTGAGGAGGCTGAAGACTAAATACTGACATAAGCACAATCATCAGCATAGCCTTTTAAAAATATATACAAGCTACCACTCGTTCACAAGAGAAAACCATATATTAATGAAAACAACGCCTCACAATTCTACAAACCTTCTCCAGTCCACCTATTACAGCAACACCACCATTCAGGACACATCCAGACCCCGAGACCCTGTGGATGAATGTGCGCTTGAGTTGCCATCTTAAGACTATTGGGGGAAAAAAACAGCTGCTTTATAAAACAAAATCCATTTATTACTGGTAGCCAAAAGGGGATTGCACACATTGAAATACATCCAGCACTTCTGTTTTCTACAAATAGATTCATTTACAGTCACATTTGAAGACATACATTGAAAAACAACATGGACTGATTATTAGGCGTCACCGAAACAATCAATGTTTCTTGCAACAGAATTTCACTATCATCCATAGCTCTCACACACAGGAGGTTACATTTCATTACTGTCTTTTTAAATAAACAGTTTTAAACATCACCTATAAACGCTTTCTTCATACTCTATTACATGTACTCTCTTACAGAAGAATGCACAGCAACTGACTGAAAAACTAAAGACCCATTTGCAAATCTTTTCCAGTAATTTAGAGTGCCATATTCATATGAAGAACATAGCTGAATGCTTATTAATCACCTGATGTGTAGTGGCAAAGGTTATTCCTGAATAATCACCATCAAAAACATAAAATGATCATTTTTATCCATTATTTTGCAGACGTATTAGCTGTGGTCACTGTCACTAGGAAAGCGAAATCTCCTGGCGAGATCATGTTATATTAAACAGGCTGATTTGTGAAATAAAATCTCCAATGATAAAAATATTTGCTCAAAGTGCAATTCTTCCCAAAATGTGCATGGGCCCAGAACCTTCTGCTGTTACTGTAATGTCATATATGTAGAATATTACTGTAAATCTCAATATTTTTTCCAACAAAATATGATGGTACTATACAGTAATGCAAACTGATTTTGTCAGTGTTCACTGAGCAAATATTTTTGAGAGGAGTGCAGTATTTTTAATATTAATAAACTAATGAGACAGATGGCTCATCAAAAGTAATTACTGAAGTACTGTAAGAAATCAACATATTAAAAGTACAGAAAACCTAATCTTGTCTCTCAGCCAACACCTAATCACCCATCTCTCTATATAACAATTTGTAGAAACCTCTGCATGATGTCTTGAGTGCAACATTGTATGGATTGCAGCTATTAGACCTAATGCATATTCTACAGGGAGAAAAGTAAAAAGTGATTTCAAAATGCACAACTGCAATACAGCAAGTAACCAAGATAAAATATCACATGAAAGAAATTATTTCAGTGCTGGTTCTTTGTCAGACTCCAGACACTTGTAACATACAGTATACACAATTTAGAAAAATGTTTTGCTGACACAAGCATTGGTGAAGTGCATTTTGTTGAGGGCTTTGGTAAGAGACTGATCAGAGACTGTAAGGCCTCTGGCTGTGAGTGGCTTGTAGGTTTTGTTAAAAAAAATGTTAATTAAAACATTTTTTCATTTCATTCAAAAAATTCAATAAAAACAAACCGAAGTAATGCCTAATTACATGGACCTATCCATGAAAACAATTTAAGCCACTTTGCATCTTCCTCCAATACTCATGCCTTCCGTTAAAAATTCTCTTCTTTAGACCCAATGATATTTCTTGATAAACTGTTCTTTCACCAGACAGGAAAGAATAAATTAACTAGTCCCCTCTTAATGTTATTTCTGACATGAAATATAGACCTGGTCAGTGCAGTCTAAATAACACAGAACACCACCTCTGAAACACACGCAGTAAAAGACCAGTATAAATTATGGTTATCTGGTTAAAGGAGGTCAGAAAACACGGAACATTTAATATAAAAAACTCCACTATCATTTCTGACCTTCTTGTGGAAAATACTGAAAAATTAAAACAGTCACAGAAGACATAACATCAAATTTGTGCCCCAATAGATTTAATTATCTGCATCATTGTAAAACAACTGCTTTTAAAACAGAAGTCCCTAGAGAATCTTTTTAAAATGGAGGTGTGTCAGAAAAAGATGTCCATAGAGAAGAGAATCTTAAAACATTTTAAAGAGGTTTATTAAAATAGGACACAGTCCTTTTTTAACCAACCCACAAAAATGTGTTGTTCTGCAGCAATAATTCTAAAAGACCACAAAGGCAGAAAGCAGTCCACTCTATGGACTGTTATGCAAAACAGAACAAGCAGAGAATATTGTAGCCAGAAGAGCTCAACATCCCCCTCATGCCTTATACAAGTGCTCCCTCTGCTGGGCAACGTGCTGAACTGCATGGCACAATCAAGCTGCCTTACAAAATCACCACAATGAGAGCCCAAAGGACAGCAGGAAACTACAGGGGACATTTTGGACTCTGTGGATGTAATGAAGAAACAACGGATTAGAAAATTAAAGTCCAAATCGTGCGGGAGTGCGTTTTGGGGTCATGGGTGCTTCTTCTTTCCTCCCTGGGGTGCAGATCTTCACTGACCTATCAGAGTAAAAAGACAACATGGACATGAGAGTGATAAAAAAACAGAGAGCCGGTTTAGAAGGCATGAACCAATGTGTACTCACTGTAATACTACCTAGCTACAATTTCAAGAATATAAGATACATTCTAATGTGTGAATAACATTTCAGCTTGAGATCGTATAGTAGAGATTTATATTAAAAGTATAGCTTATATATTGAAAGTCAAGTTTTACACTCAATTGTTTACATTTCAATAGTATGAACACACCAGATCAAAGATATCCGACTGAGAGTTTTTAATTTAAATCTAATTGGTTGGTTAAACCTGGCAAGAGTTTGGCTCACTATACTGGGGCTGCTGCTGTGGTTTCTGCACGTCAGCCAAACGACGGAACTCATTACATATCACCCACTCACATTCAGCAAACCCTTTTAATGAAATTAAACTGCATCACTATGAGCTCTGCGCTGTCCGTACTCCACAAGGTTAGACTGAGGCACTCCCTAATTCTGTTACATTCATTGTCATTTACATGACAATTCTTCAAATGGGATTGCTGGGCAAGCAGAACATACGCTTCATTTTATTCCTTTACTCCCCCCCATGGTTGTTTAATCAGTTTTTGGACTGTAATTTAATATTTAAACAAGTATTACTCGTTATGTAACTTTGAAGGAGAGGCTGGCGGGGAGGGATTTGAGGGCTATTTGGTCTTTCTGCAGTGGATGCTGCAGGGTGTAGCTGACAGTACAATACATCATCTTTAATTACAGCTTCACAACACACCAACACCCCTGTTCCAGCGCACACATGCTGCTATCGTGCCATCAGGCCCTGACCTCCCTCACTGCAGGTCCCAACACGCATTAGGCATCATCTCGCCCTTTCATTTCCAGAATTTCTACCCATTATATTGTGTGTATCCTATGCTTCATGTATTAAACGTAACACAAAGCAGAAATACTCTTCCTACACGTATGCTTTAACCTACAGCCGTTTTCTTTTGGCACATTGGGAATGACGTCATTCCCAGAGACAGGCGCGTTAACGTGCCTGGGATGAGGTAACTCTTCAGAGATCACCCTGCCGAAAACCAACCACTGTGCCGTCAGAAGCCCACCTGTACTTATAGATTTCAAGCGTTTCCTGGAAAAAAACACATCGCCTAACCTCAATAATACTCCCTATGGCTTGAATGCACATAGGCCTAATTTATTCCAAAAATGAAAATTGGGGAAAAAAAAATGTCTACAGAGCCTGCTATTTCAAGAGCTGATTAAAGGCATTCAATTTCACATAGTTGTAGTTGTTCTAACAGAGCACAAGAGAAGCCCTCTACAAGTAACATTATCAGGATGCAGTGGGACAATGCAAGTGGAGAGGTTAAGCACTGAAATAGAGCTCTTGCCCTTCTCTTCTTTCCCTGTGGCTCCCATCAAACTCAAGTTCAAGTTGAAGCAAACTTGTCTGCTAAGCTCGAGGGAAGAATGCATACTGTAACTACTGAAGCCTTTAAAACAATCGGGTCAGTATCCCATTTCCCTCATACACACATAAAAATGCTGCCACTTCAGCCTGATTTCTGACTGTGGCTCTGCAGGGTAAAAACCACTAACTGACCAGCTACACTCTTGACTTGAGAGCAAGCGACATACAGTACATAAGGCTTGCCACAACTGACCAGTGTCCTGCTGGACTGTCAGCACAGACACAGTCTGTAAAGTTAACATGAAAAGAGGCTGCACAATGAAAACACTGAGAGACAGAGAACAGAACATATTCATTATTTGACTTCAAAGTTGAAGAAATCAAAATCCTAATCCCCTTCTTTAATGTGATCATTGCAGAGATGTCTGGCATACCAGTTGACAGACAAAGCTTGGAATACATAGATAAATTAGTTGATTAATTAATAATGAAAATATTTTTTTAAAAGCTGTCGTCTTTGTGAAGTCAGAAGATGTGTGTGGAATTAATTTTTCAGTTTAATTTAAAAATTAAAGCACGCTTTTTCTTCCCCTGCGCCACAATTTAAATTGCTACAGTAATAGGGGTCAGTCAGGGGTCAACATCATTTCTTTCTCTCGGCTCAGGAGTGGAGAGGTGAGAAAAGCTCATCTCATCTCTCTTCATCGAGCGAGAGGAAAAAAGCAGGAGAGAAGCTGGCTGGGGGAACAGAGATGGACGGACAAACAGATAAAAAGACACAAAAGTAGACTAAGTAGCAAGGATAAGAGAGGAAATGGCTATGCAAGAAGAGCACAGGGATGGGAGAGGCTAGCTGGACTGTGTAAACATGCTCTAAAGAGGTAGTGCTCAGCTGGGACACAGAAACAGTTAGAGCGACAGACAAAACACAGGAGCCTTACAAACAGCACGCCAACACAGAGCCTGGGGCTGGGGCTGGGAGGGACACACACTACGGAAAACACATGAAAAGAAAATGGAAACAGGCCAGAAAACCTAAAAGGAATTTGCTTCATGGCGAAGGAAGGTGAGGAAACTAAAAAGATATGGATGAAGAAACCTGTGACCACTCAGCAGCCTCAGGGGAATTAACCATGGAATTAAGAGACTGCAAGACAAGAAAATAACTAATGCACAAAGTATCTTTTTATAATGAAACTGGGAAAACATGTCTACTAATAGTTTTTTAGTAATCCCTCAAACATTACAAGCATGTATTATTCTAAAGGCTACATGCTGTACTCAGGCTACACTGCACAGAGTGGCCACCATTATTTCACAGCCTTCATTTTGTCACCAAAGTGTCACACAACAGTCCTTCTTTTTATCCTTTTTGTAAATTTAAAGCTTTTTATGATTTTTAAAAGTACTTATTTTTAGGAGTGTGGTATCCAACTAGGTACAGATCAAACTGTTACAAGCTGCATAAAACGATGGCAGAAGTGTGATTGTGCATTAAATGTTTTAATACAGTTTCAACATAGTCACTTACATTTTTAACATACCACTCCAAGGTGTGTATGTGAAGCACTTGGAATAGTAGACAATGTGCTATAGTGATTTTGTAGTTCTATGTTTGATCATACTTATTTTAAGTATATCTTTAATATTTAAGCATATCTAATAATGTATTTATTAATTTATATATAACATACATAATATATAAAACATATTACGCTATTGTATAATAAATTTAAATATTTAAGCAAACTTATGCATTTAATATAGAATATTCATATATTTGAATTGCCATTGTTTCTCATGATTAAGATACTCTTTACCATACAGCTCTTTTCTTAATCATGATGTAACTATGCCTAACCACATTTTACTCTGATTGGCATACCACGGCAATCTTTTCTAAGGGTTACTACAACCTACGACATATGGATAAGTGAAGGTGCTCGAGTGCAACAAACTCAGGCCACCTTGCACTTCCGTGTTAATGTTTTTGGATCATCATTGCACAGCACGCTCTAACAGACGTGCAGGGAGCAGGCCCCGCCGTGCAGAACGTCAGTGTGGCCCGGCGGCTCGCTCGGAGAGGCGCACCTCACGCTGCCCAGGGTGTTCTTCCTCTCCTGCTCCTCCCGCCGAGCTCTCAGCTGCTGCTCCGCCAGGGACATCTCCTCCTCCATGGCCGAGATCTCCTCCTTCGCCCTGCGACGGTTCTCCTGCAGGAAGAGGATGGAGGGAGAATGAGCACAGGAAGAGAGGAGAACAGGGGTCCAGGAAAACACGAAGTTGGAGTTAAAGGCGGTCAGAAACAGCAGAAAGAAAAGAGAAATGAAGCACGAACAAAAATGCTACCCACACAGGGGAAGGCGTGAGAACACATGAAAAGTAAAGGCGGACAGGGAGTGGCTGAGGAATACACGGTACTCACTGAAGTTGCAATGGCTGAAACCAAAAAATGAAACAATAATGATAATACGGACGTGTCGCTATAAAATTGCTCTTCAGGAAGTGCTTGTTCCTTTACAAAAGTTCCAAAGATCTGAAAAGATCTGAAACATTCCCAAAAATTCACAAACATTACGGAGACTGTGAAGCAGGAGAAAGGACAATGAAAAAGAAGGATTCTAATAAGAGCAGTGGGGGGGGGGATAAAGAATAAATGTGGGAAAATAAAGGGCAGGAATAGGGCGACGCAGACCTAGGTGAGAGAGAGGAGAAGGATGGGAGTAAGACTACATACCTGTCTGCTCTTGCCGGCGTGTTTGATGCTGTAGAACATGGGCCCCAGCTCGGCCAGCCACTCCCCGTCCGCTGCAGTCACACACTGCATGTACTCCTGAGAGAGGCAGAGCACAGCACGCTCAGCAACACAGCATGAGGCAGACCCATCACTCGAGCCAGGCTCGAATCGTGACATGGCCCAAAAAGAGCACATCAAGCCAACAGAACCACTGGCAACCAATAAAAGCACAGCAAAGGTCTTACTTTGGTTGTCATGACCAGCTCATGATAGACTATGTAATCCGGGGTGTAGCCCATTCCAAAGAGCGAACTGGTGGGGTGTAGGTGACAGGGCATTCCTGTCCGCACATTCACATACTCCCCGATGCCCTGAAGAGATACAAAGACATGGCTTTAGTTACTGCAAATGAAAACACAACCGCGGCTCCTTGCTGTAAATCTTGCCCTTCTGTCCCAGACACAGTATTATTTTGATTTTGAATGGTCAGCTTAAAAAATGCCCCTGCTCTTGCAGTCAGAAGGGGACCCTCCTGCCTTCACTCGCCTTTAATTTAGCAGCTTGGTGGAAGTACGCGGCACAGATGCACTTCCTGATGATGTCCCAGTCAGAGCCGCAGGAGACCAGATTGAGTCTCTGCTGAACCATGATGTCCTTCAGCTGGGCCCTGACCTCCCGCACCTGCAGGACGTACAAAGGCACACCTTAACAGAGCAGTCAAGTCACGGTTGGCACTCAACACTTTACACTTCAATGAAAAGAATTTGCTACCATAATTACTCATTATGCACATTAAACAACTATAAGCTACCAATAGACACTGCCCATTTAATTTATACAAACCTTGCTTACAATATAGGACAATGTTATTAAAGTTGTAAAAAGAAGAACGCAGTTTATATGTAACAGTGATGTCACATGAACACAAGAGCAACGGCTGCTGTTATTAACTGGATGTTAAGAAAATCCAAACAAGAACAAGCCAGGAGCAAACCACTGTTTTGTTAACAGTAGAGAAAGCCGCTACCCACACCATAACATAAAGAAAAACCGTTTTGGAAATCATCAGTGCAGAACTGACCTTCCTCATGGCTTTGGTGTGGATGAAGTGCTCGTTGCACCAGATAGTGGAGTAGTTATTGTTCTTCCACTGCAGGTAGACGTTGAGGTAGGTGAGGTGATCGCTCTCGGGCACAGAAAACTTCTCCCTCACTTGGTCACTCTCTTCCTCGCGGCCCTGCCAAGGGACACAGACTGGCCATGATTCTGCTTCACAGCTGGTACCAGACGCTATTCTCCGATGCTCACGTGGAAGGAAAACTGTCCCCTGCATTGAATTCCTTATATATATATCGAGACTAACTATACAGAAAATGGGGAAAATTGGAGCTAGAATTCGCCTAAGTAAAACGCTAGTTCACTTTTTTTTTAGATATGGAAATTGCTGACTAGAACACATTAATTTCTGATTTTCAAATATACAGTATGGTGAAACGATTTTTAAAAAACTGAGAAACATCCTCTCTCCCACAAAAAACTGTGATTTTTTTAAATAATTGTTCTCTAGTGAGGAGTTGAGCCGAAATGATTGATCTGGCTGAACAGGCTCTTTCCACTTAAAGAAAAGCTGCTCTGCTGGGAATGTGAGCAGACAGATGAGGCATTCCTTGTGAAATCCCAGCTGATCCACAGAAAAACCTAAAGTGAGAACCCTGCGGAATGAACTACACCTACCTTTGGCCTGTAGAAGATGGCGGGCACAGACAGCATGGAGACAATGATGAGGATGTCGGAACTGCAGCCCATGTCACACGACACGATCAGCATCTTGGACAGGGCAGGGTCCAGGGGGAACTCCACCATGAGCCGACCCGTAGGCGTCAGAGAACCTGAGACAAGTAAAAGGAGAGGACGATGAAAAACAAATGACCTATATAAATAGCGGACCATTATAGGGACACAAGGCAAGGAAAGAGGACACTGCACTGGAACAACTACGTAGACTGTATGACAATAAGAAAGTACAAAACTTAAAACAAATGATGAGAGAAACATTACAAAATAGGATTTATGAAAGGATTTTCTTTAGACTCATTATAACCAGTAGCCATGTCCTTTTATACCACTAAAAAAAACCCTTTAATGACTGCGACAAAACAGGACTTTAGTGAAGGAGGTGAACATAAACCTACAGCCTACCACTGTCTCCTAAACAAAATATTCATTTACATCTAAACAATCAGCCTCATTTATTGTGCAGCAGTGCCATTAGGCTAAATCGAGGCTGCAGGCTGTCGTGGTCTTCGACAACAGTTAAGGGGTGTACCGGTGTTGTCGAGGGCCCCCAGGATCCATAGCTGGTACATGGAGTTGAGCATGTTGTCTTCGGGAGGGGGGTCCATGAAGTGGAACAGCAACAGGTCCTGCACACCCAGGGATTTCAGCAGCAGGACCACATTGGCCAGGTTGGTGCGCTGGATCTCGGGGATGGTTGTGGTCAACATCTCATTCTTGAAAGCACTCTGAGTGTACAGTCTACACAGGACAGAGAACAGGCCTTAGACTGACTGAAGAAGCAACAAGGCCAGAACAATGGAGAACCAATGGTTATACAAGTCTGTCTACCCACGTCCACGGTTTTTAGAAAATGTCCCAGTCTGGAGAGTCCGCTTGAGCCTGAAGTCTGCAAAAAATGTCAGTACTTATGATAACAGGACTCCAAAAGTATTTTATACTGACTTTGTTCATGTGTTCCTTAACAGAAATGAAAGACTGTTTTCTGAACATGTCAGTAGATGTATTTTCCTATTACATGAGAAATTGATTTTAAATACATATTTCAACAGCAACAAAAGATCCTTTGAATGTATAGATTTATCTTTCTGAATTTCTTTCAGGTTAGAAAAAATGCCAGCAATATCCATTAAGAAATACAAAATATTTTGTAACTAAAAGAAAATATAGATCCCCGTATGTTCTTCAGTCTATTTAAGAGTTAAGAGGTTTTCCTTAAGCAGATTTTCATGCAATATCAATCTGCAACCCAAAACATATCATTGCACCTTAAGGACAGTTTCTCTGAAGCAGAAATTGATTAGTCAGTCACAGATGTGCACTGGTGATGTATCTAATCCTCAAGTAAATGAGCTCTTTTAAGTGTACTTGGACCATTTACATGGAGCAAAACAATTTTAATTCTGTCAGCAGCTGATTGGAAAAAGAAAGGGTGTCTTGTTTCTTTAGAGCACCTTGGAAGTTTAAAGATTTGAAGGTTATCGTAAATCTCTCTCTCAAGCATACCTTTGTATTATTCAATTTTTACTGCTCTAAACTAAATTATATTCCATAGAATTAACTCAAGAATATATTGAGTCCTCTGCATTTCCATGAAATCCCTTAGATTTAAAATGGATGGCTTGGAGATCAGAGGATGAAATTTTAGCTCAGCTCTGTGATGTACTGTATGAAATCTGAACCACGCTAAAGAACAGAAATTCATTTAAAAAAAGACTTCAGAATAATGCAACAAAGGGAAGCCAATTTCTTTAGAGGGTCTCAAAGAGACTTGAGCAAAAAAAAAAGTAATGGCATGTCAGTGTCAGACAAATGTGACTAATTCCAACAAAGGTTTACAAGGCGTTATTAAAAAGTGATGATTTAGTTTTCTGATGTTTCTGCTGGAAACACAAATGAGTAAGAATGTAAAATGAAATGCGGGAAGCAGAACATATCTCTTTCAACAAATGGTAATGAAACCGGAGGATGGCATTGACTTGAGTGTCAAGAAGGCTGACTCCCACAGTGTAGTGATCTCCCCTCTGGAAGGGCAGACAACAATGTGGTCAATGTCATAGTACAAAAAACTTGAACAGCCATCTCACAAAGGAGCACAGATTCCTACATCAAAAACTTGTCAATGAAGTCATTTCTAATCATTCTCACTAAACGAGGGGCTACAATCTACACCCGAGCTTGTGTTCTGTCCAGTGTCGGGACATCTGGGGCTATACCTGAAGCACTGGCCCGGCCCGGTTCTGCCAGCTCGACCTGCGCGCTGGTTGGCGTTGGCCTGACTAATGGGGTACACCTGCAGGGCATCCATTCCAATACGGGGGTTGAACACCTGTATGCCAAAAGACATAGTGGGATCATACTGTCAGAATATTTTGGGGGGAAAGACATTTTTTTTAATTTCACAAACAAAATGTTATTCCGAGAAGACCTACGTTCTGAGAAATAGAAAAGACAACAAATAAACGCTTCCTCATTTAAAAGTCGCTCTTTTTAGGTCATGAGATTTAAAATACATTTTACTCAGTATACTTTTCACATTGAGTAAATGATCTCAGGATGAATTATTAAAGAATGCAACCTTAGCATTTGCTGGTGATCATTTTATCTACCCTGAATAATGATGAATTTATTGCAGTGAATTAATAAATATCCATGTTAAATTTTCAAGCAAAGCAAATGTGACTCTAGTAATTAAATGAAAACCACTAACTAGAAGTTTCACTCACTCTGGCCAGGATAGCTGTTCACACTTAAGTCAATACTGACCTGTTAAGGCGGTAGAGAACAGTGAGACAGGGAGACTTTACCTTGAGCTTGCAGTAGCCAGAGTCAATAACAAACATAATCCCATCCACAGTCAGGGAGGTCTCAGCGATGTTTGTGGCAACAATACATTTCCGCACCCCATCTGGAGCCTAGGACACAGGCACAGTTAACGCAGAGAAACAGAACCACTAAGTATCGGAGCACCGAAAACACTAAGGGGGTTTAACTACTTGAAAACTTTTAAACAGCAAATAATAAAGTTCAGTTTTATTTAATTTAACAAGCGAAATGATGCAGGAAAAGGCATTTCAACATGCAGACAAAGTATCTAATGGAGTGCAGGTATCGAAAACAACAGGTATTGTTGTTTCCATGCTCTTTGAAGTTGCCTGTATGCCTCCTCAACCAATAAGGTGAGCTACACTGCATCACTCTGGTTAAAAAAATTACAGGTCCTGTTTGCTTCCAGTCTAGGAATACAAAAATCTAAGTGAACTGCATTTAGGAAGACAGCCTTGGAATCTCATGGCAGCCAACTCCGTGTCTGTTAACACCTTCCTCTTCAAAAAGCAGAAGCAAACTTACATTTTAAAAAGTTAACCTATTTTTGTAAGTATAAGGGACATTAACTTACATCCATTTCTAATTTTAACACACATCATAGCTCCAGTTCTAGCTTAAATGAGTATTTTTGACAAAAATCAAAGATAAAGATGAGAAAAATTATTCTCCCATAGAGAAAGTAAGATGTCCAAGTTTGAAATACTTCAAGGCTCAAAAATGTTGCTACTCCTATAAGTAACCAATAAAATAATTGGAATAAAACAGATCATTGATTAAGTTTGTTTCTCCTCAGGATGAGCTGTTGCACTTTTGAGTTTTGGCACCATCCTCAGTAGGAGTCATATGTGCTGATGCAGGATTTTTCAGATGGGTTACTGAGGAGAACAGAAGCAGCTGAACTGTTAACTGCATTTTATGTTAGATCATCAATTATCATTGCAATACAAAATATAGAATAGCCAGTTTTGTGTTTCTCAGGTCTCAGCTCTCAGCTATGATCCCTGAGATGCATGCAGGGGAGAATAAAGAATGCATGTGCTCAGAAGGCCACAGGCGTCACGGTCACTGACAGCTGACTAATCCCACCCTACTCTCAGCAGTGCTCAGCCAACTGTGTGCCACTGTTTCAGGAACCCTAGTCTCAGTCGACTCCAGGATCATACAGCCAAATCTGCCCTCAGGAGATCCCATGAACCATGTTCTGTTTTCTCAAATAGGTTTAGCTCCAGTTTGCACCTTTTCATGGTGTTTTCCCAAGACTGTTGAATCCTAGTTTCAAATGAAATGCACCTCAAATTTCTGACCAACAAATGAAGGAATTAAGTTAAAAAAAAACTTCAAACAAACAGGGATGTAGAAGGGAAGATGGTTCCCTGCTATTACCTCAGCTCCACTTTACTTTCAATAGCCATATACATCTTTCGTTATTTAAGGAGAGATTCTGAAACTTGAACTTAACCATCTTGACCTGGGAGTTCACAGAAGAGCCACAACATGCCACTAAACAGACTAAAAATGTTCTAATTTTTAGGCCAATGGAAACCTAAAAGGCAGTCAGTCACTGAAGGAACAAGACAAATCTCCTAGAACACTACTCTAAGACCAAGTGTACAGCCAACACACTGTGCTTCTGCACGCCTTTCTAAAGGACAAAAAAACACCTGGGAGATAACAAGAGGTAAATTATTCAGCAGGCTGGCAGACAGATGACAGGTTTACCTTCTGGAAGATTTTAGCTTGGAGGTCAGAGGGCAGCTGAGAGTAGATGGGAAGTACTGCCAGTGCAGGGGCATTCTCCAGGTCCTCCAGCCTCTCCACAATCTGGTCTGACGTCACCTGGGTAACAGCAGGTGAACAGATCCTCAATAACAAAGCTTCTTGCCTCCTGTACATCACTGCTCCTGCCTCACGCAGGTCCTAAGTTACCACTGCTGACAAAGAGCTTACTCATCTAAGCCCTCAGGGTACTGCTACAGCCTTCTGTCATTCTTGGACACTGTTCTCTGCCTTGAGGACATCAGGCTCAACCTTTGCATTATACATTGTTTTGTTCACCAAACTCTTTTAATCACCCCTATGGAGATTTACTTAAACCACAACGCTGCCTTCTCCTGTGCATTATTATGACATTAAGACAGTCCCTTTCCCCAGTCCTTCTGCCTCTCCTTCGCGTAACATGTCTGTCATATCTCTCCTCTTATACAAACCTCAATGTCCTCCTGCCCAGGCATGAAGATCAGAATGTCCCCTTGCGTCCCGCTCAGGTGAATCTGAAGAGCCTGCTTCACTGCTGCTTCCACATAATCCTCCTGAGGGGTCTGAAACACACACCACAGCCAACAGCTGAAGCAGTCTGTCCCTGTCAACAGTCAACTGCTCTCAACAGAGAAGCACAAAAAAGAGAACAGAAATAGACACTAAGGGAAAGTATATTTAAAACTGAACTTATGAAAGAATTGTGGAAGTTGAGAAAAACCTACCAGGTATGTTGTTGAAGTCTATACCCTAGTTTCTTTCAAGAACTGGGCGGACAAGATCCAAGCTAAATGAGCAACTTGCAACCACACACTAAAAGGACCTAATGGGATCCTCTTATCTGTAAACCCAATTTATGTTCACATTTTACTTCACATGTACAAAACATGAAAACGTGCCCAAAGAAAGAAGGTAAAGCAATATACCTTGCTAAACAGAATATCCACAGGGAATGTTCTTCCGGGAATATGGAAAATGGGGACATTCCCGAAGAATGCTGCAAACTTATCGGAATCCATGGTGGCCGAGGTAACAATGAGCTTCAAGTCTGAGCGCCTAGCGACCACCTGCAGAGAGCAAACCACAGGGAGAGTTTCAGCTGCTGCTCGTGTCCTGCACTGCTACCTCTCCATGCTGAAATGGATAACTCAGCAGTGTCCAGAGACAAGTACCTATGCCTTATTTTATTTTCGAATAGGATTAATATCTTGTACGGGAAGGATTCTTAAATTCACGTTGGATGTAAGAATTTGTTTCAAATAGTTACATTCCCCGTGCAACAGTCAAGAAATGACCAGAGAGATCACATGACTCGTTCCCCAGAATGGAAGCCTGAGTCTAGAGCTCTGTCACCAGCAGCACCCACCCACCCCCTTCCCAGCCCACACACATACACGCATACCCACCACTTTCGTAATCTCAGATACAGTGTAAGGTAGTTAGGGCTCCAAAAATGCCCAAGTAAAAGGACATTGCAAGAATCTGATGGGGTCTATTCACACTAGCACATGAGGTAGAAGAGTTAACTGGATCTGAAGGGAGTAGAAATCAAGAAGAACCATTTCTTCCACCTTTGACCTTTGTTCGGATTTCTCAATCCGTCAAGGACACAGTGTGTGTGAGTAACTGACGCCAGGTCACATGCGGGGAATCGACAATGAATTTTGGTTGTAGTATTTCAGAACTACAGACAAGGTGAGGAGAATGGAAGGGAATGGGAGAGACTAACGCTGGCGAACTCTTTCCACTCAAGTAGCTATCCAGCTATCCCACTCGATCAGGTGGGGCAGCGGTGTTCCGTCATGAACAGCTGTTACGTATTCGCATTGATTCAAACGATTAATTCCTTGTGAACATTCAACTTGGCTTTTCAAACACAAGACTAAGTCTATTTTATCCAAGAACAAATGTGGGCTGAATTAACTCGACAAACATGTTGGCTCTTTGGATTGGATGCAAAGGAAAGGAATTGCAATTATCACAGCAGATACAGGAATCTCATCTGTAACAACAAAATGTTTATAGATTTTCTAAGTATCATCACAATACCGCAGAACACAATACAAAGCAGGGTTTTAATTATATTACAAGGATTTTTTATTTTATATATCGGTTTACGATCTGACAGACTAACGAATATGTCTTATTAAAATTTCAGGAAAAAAATCTTTTGTTTCAGTTAAAGCCCCTAAGATGACAGATCCTAAGGTGAAACATCTTTTATTCGCCGTTTAAATTCCTGTTGGAATTCACTAACTTTGATAGTGTTCTGGATACTGATATGAAAACAGTTATGAATTATGTACAAGATAGATCAAAATAAAAACAGAAAAATGTTCAGTCTCAGGCAGATGCAACAAGAAGAAATTGTAAGAAATAACTGGGAATTGTAAAGAGGGTCCATACACCTTTAGAACAAAAAAGAACCACAAGACAAACCTTTTTCATAATATTTAAATACATTTCCATAACTCAGAATCCCTATTTGTTAAAGTTCATCTCATTATTCTGCACTGTTTTCTGAGATATTATTCATAATGCAGCTGTTAAATTTGTGGATAATCTGGAATTGGTAATGAAAAACATCTATTAAGAAAAACATTACAGAGACAATTGTGTTTTAAACATCACAACACCATTAGTTTACCATTACTAATTAGAAGCATAATTAGTACTAGCAGCATGAAACAGATTAAAAAATTAGGCCTATAACCCTGGAAGGAAGTGGACCTTATAATTATGAAATTTATGAATTATGTTTTGCAAAGACCTTCAAATAAATACATTTTGCTGCTAAACATGTTTTACATATTATAAGCAAAAATATGAAAGAAAGTAACAGTAATGAGGAAAGAGGGACTGAAGAGTGGTTAATTTAATTTTAGAACTCTATTTTTTCAGAAAAAAAAACACATTTTGTACAAAAAAAAAGAAGTGACTGGAGAATTGCACAGCTCCAGGAGGCACAGTGATGTAATCTCACCTCCCTGAGGAGACCGAACAGCACGTCCGTGTTGAGAGACCTCTCGTGGGCTTCGTCCATGATGATGGCGCTGTAGTGGTCCAAGTCTGACTCCCTCAGAGACTCCCTCAGCAGAATCCCATCCGTCATGTACTTGATCATCGTCTGCTCCGAAGTGCAGTCCTCAAACCGGATCGCATAGCCCACCTGTCCACACAACACAGCATTATCCTCTTTCCCCACTGGATAGGAGCAATAATCCAACTGACAGAAAAGAGGAGCTCACTTCGAGCCACATCTCTGTAATCACACTCCTGGGGTCTCACGGAGGATGTGATTTCAACTTCCCTGTGCTATCAGCTCTGTCACTGAAATGTCCCTGTAGTTCACCATGCGGCCCCATTAGCACACACCTGACTTTTAATGCACTCAGTTATGTAAACATAAAAAAATTAAATTAAAATTGATTTCATTTAAGTTCTTACCATTCTGGTTAATTACAGCCAAGCCAATAGGGGAAAAGATATTACTGTTAACACTCGGTTTAAAAGACTAATCGGAGGGAAGTTGTTCGTTATTGCAGGATGTCCACTAAATCATGAATAACGATTTTTCAGCTCAGAATCACACCATTATAAGAGAGATATATACACTATATATACTTTCGACATCTTCTGACTTATTTCTTTAACAATTACAATCAACACAGTCATTGAAGATTGTTCCTGAGGCTTTTTTTATTATAAATATACAAGCTTTTTCAAATCTACTTTATTAAATTCACCAAAGCACACGAAATACAGGCAACAGAACTACCCCTATAGGGCACCACTGATATTCCTGAATGAAGTAGTGTTTATGTTCACTCTTGTGTAATCATGTGTGCATCTCCCCATTATCGATACCTCTGATCTAGCAGAAGAGATTCCCCCGTAGCACATTCTGTCTGTTCAACCCGAAGTCCGGTAAAGGTAAAGCAGCGTCCTGTGAACTGAAGGTTCACTACGCGGTCTGAAAAAACAGGAGCGCTGCTGCGCAGGGACCAGCTGGCGTGTAGGAGCTTCCTCACCTGCTCGCCCAGGCTGCTCCCGATCTCCTCGCTCACTCTCTTGGCCACGCTCATAGCCGCCACCCTGCGCGGCTGCGTGCAGCCCACCATCCCGTAGCAGGTGTACCCATCCTCGTGCAGGTACTGCGTCAGCTGGGTGGTCTTCCCGCTGCCCGTCTCGCCCACCACGATCACGATACTGTTATCCCTGGGAAGGGCGGCAAAATGAAGTCTCATGCAGCTGTCTGGCAAGATGTCAGAAAACGTGAAAACATGCGACAGCCTGAGCCTGACTTTTCACAAACTCCTCTCATCTTGTCACATCCAATGACATCCAATCCCTGGATGAACGTTCCAGCCAATCAGCTTTGGTTTACCAAATCCCATTAGGCTGGCTCACTCCGATGGCGACATTTTTTAGCTGTCTGTCTCAATGAAAAAAACATCTCAATTTTGGAAACTCTGCTGCCCAGATAATGACAAATAATGACGGTAATCACAAATAATGACGGTACAGAAGCGATTATGTTCTATTGCACTCATTCTCTGCACTTGGGATCCCCCTAAGTCTGTCTTGCTTGTTGCTTTGAAGGGCAGTACCTAATGATGTTGAGCAGCTGCTGTCTCACTGCAAAGATGGGCAGGTACTGTCTCTGCTCCAGCAGAGTCTTCTTCTTGGCAAACTCACTGCTAGCTTCACTCTTCTCTTTCATGTGATCTGCAAATTTCTGTTCCGTCCTGACACAAGAAAGCAAGGGTTTCAGAGAGCTCCGATGCAGCAAAGACACAAGATAGTAATTGAGAGCAACTGGAACATTATAAAATAAAGCCACTTCATGCTACTTAATGTAATCCTTACATAACTGTAATCATACATACCTGTAGTCCACTGTACCATCTTCACCAACAACTTTGGCCTGCGCTCCATCCTCCTCTTCTTTCTTCTTAATGCCCATGATGTCTCCCAGTTTGGTACCAGCCAGCTCCCAGTGCTTGTGCTGAGCCTAAGGGACAAACAGAATTTAAGAAGTGGAAGGAACTATTTATATAAAAAAAACAGACTCCTAGGTCTGCTCCCTCTTTGAATGCTTTAACATTGTGCAGTGACAGGGAAGCCTCATATTTTTTATTTTAACTTTTGCTACAGACCCAGGAAGGCAGTTCAGCAACGTGGGGCTTGCGACCTCTGAAATGAAGCAGAAACTAGCAGTCTGTGCCAGCACGAGAGCACTACCTGCCTTCCTTAGCCAGCACGAGAGAGTACCGAGATGCCGAGTGCGAGGCTAGCGTGAGGCAGATCCACATCAGTGATGATTTTAGAAGCTATTTTAGACGCTGAAGAGACAGAAAGACGAGAAGTATTTGAGTTAAAGCTGCACCTTCTTGCGCTCCTTCTGCTCACGGTGTTTGCGAACCAGCTGGCTGCCCTTGCGGGAGATTATCGCCATGTCCGAAGTGGGGTCCTTCACAGGGATCACCGGCTCGGGCTGCAACACACAAAACCATCACCTTGACAAACAGAGCGCGCGCCCACACAGGGACATGCCAATTGGAGACGATAACTGGAATCAAGCTCTTCCAGCGCCACCTCTGTACCTGCTTGGTGAAGACAATCCTGCCATCTAGGAAAGGTGGTACAAGGTTGTGGACTAACAGGTGGACTTTAGCAGCATTGTCCTCCTCAAAGTCCTCGTCCACTTCCAGGCGCTGCACCACTCCACTGGTGAGCATGCGGTTCGTCTCCCAGCGTTCGTTATCCTACAGGCACCCAAGAACAGGGTCAGACAAAAGCAGCCGATGAAACCAACAAAAGGCTCTCTTAAATTCCTATTCTTTTATATCACTTGCAAGCACAAAGAAAGCTCTCATTCAGTGATGCATTTATTCGAAGAGATTTGTAATAGTATCCAACAATCTGAACAAAAATATTAAGTGAAATAATCATTGAATTGTAATGTGCTTTGAACATTTGAATCATATCCTGCCCATAATTGTAACGCAAATATTTTACAGCATTCCAAGAGTATCTGTAGCAGACTGAATATAGACACAGACCGGGTTAAATTATGGCTCAACAATTTCAAGGTCTGTTTTTCTTATCTTCAGAAAGCTCAAAGCTACCCTTTTCATATGAAAAAATGAATGAGAATTCCACAGCTGGGTTGGATAACAATGCTATTGAGCAAGATATGAAAGGATATAAAAAAGAATTCAGAAAGCAACTTTTTATAATTACAGAAAAGCGTTTTATGGGCATTAATTGTAGGTCAAAGCTGTCTCTTGTTTTACCTCGTTGATCTGTCGCTTCTGAGCCGAGATGCGCTTCTGGGTCTGCTTCTGTAGGATCTGCTCTCTCTTCCTGACATACTCCTCCGAGCTGGACGTCAGCGGGTTGTGGAACTCATCATACCCCTCATCCATCATGTACCAGTCACGGTCTGCTTGCTACAAGACCACCACCCAGTTACTCACACCAGTACCGCTGCACACCCTAAGCACAAAGCCAGTCGGCATTCTGTTTCATGAAAACATCATGTTGGAAAGAACACTGGCAATCTTGGGGATATCTGAAACTATGAAATAGATATTAAAAACATCCATCTATCCAATTTCTAACTGCTTCATCCAATTTAGGGCCAGGGGAGGCTACAGCCTATTCTGGCATTGCAACAAGTACAAGGCACGATACACCCTGGATGGGATGCCAGTGCATCGCAGGGCACACACAGACTCAGACACACACACACACTGAAACACAGGGTCAGTTTTCCCAGAAGCCAATTAACCTAAACAGCATGTCTCTGGACTGTGTGAGGAAAGCCACAGGAACACAGGGAGAACATACAAACTCCACACAGACAGCACTCCAGGTTCAGTACTGAACTCAGGACTGCGCTGCAAGGCAGCAATGCTAACCACTGCTTCCCTGTGCCACCTGTATTAAAACATAAAATATTAAAAGAGAAATATAAATAAGAAGCTTCAACATTCATCGTTACCACCAAATTTAAGACAAATGAAAACACTGAGAGGCTGGGAACACTGTTATAGGAAACTTAATCATTTGAGCAGGAAAACCTGCTTGCAGGACTGGTGACAAAGGCACTTGGGTTCACTCCTCTGCCCTCCCCCAAGATGCTCACCCGTTGGTCTTCCTCCCACTGCTGCCTCTCCTCCTCGGTATCGAAGGAGATGCCATCCTCACCGTCTTCCTTCCTCCCTGAAAGGCAAGGCACAGGAGCTTCAGAGCTCTGCCAGCACCCTGCTGGCCTGCGGATGTCAGCTCGCTTGTGTACTAGAAAGTCAGCCGTGGTCAGTGCCCTGCTTCTTATTAACACAACTGACAATAAAATCACTGACAATTTATCAAGAGAGATATTTCTTGCACACTGCTGACAGATACGATCATGCTGTGCAAATACTTTATTTTCTGAAAACTTAAGAGGTGTTTTTCATTATGGAAGCAAAACAGGAAATTTGCTTCTCCAAAAAAACAATTTGAAAGATGGCGTGTAAATATACTACTTTTTAGGAGCATTAACATTTGTGCTGTTAAAGCAAAGGCCTGATAAGCTGAAAACTTGAAGTACTCAATGTCTAGATCTTTCAATCCACTCCGATGCCCAACTGATGCAACACGCTCCTTAACCGTTATACTGATCCTGTTACTTATTAACTGAATAATTAACTAGCAGTTTCGAGCAAAATCCGGTACGAGTCTGAAAGAGAAGGCCATAATTGGAGCAGCCCTGTTCTGCACAGCACTTCAGAGTGATGGACTCTCACACCCCATCTTAGGACCGAACGTCTCACAGGACAACAGGGAATGGGATACCTTTTCCACGTGAGAGGCGGGGTGTGGAACCCAGGTGTCTTCGGTCATTGGCCCACTCATTATATTTGTAGGATGGTGTCGGCAGGGGAGTGTCATCTGTGTAGCGACTTCTGACTGACCTGTGGAGTGAAAGAAACACACATGAAAAACTAAAGTGCTGCATAATTAAATAGCAAAATGGGAAAGAGTCTACTGCGGTAGGGCAACTCTGAAATTAGCCGAATGGAGAAAAAAGATAATGTACTTAATCAAGAATAAGGGAATACAAAAACAACGCACAAAAAAATCTGCTCAAGCCTGCATGAAACTTCTGTTATGTTGTATTTGTTCCCACCTCACTGTCCCTGGAGGACACTTTATCAAAACAGTAAGTGATGAACTAGAAGACCAACAGATCTTCACCTACCAAATAATTTTCTTCTACTATTACAAATGCAGCTAGACCACTGAAATCTATTGTTACTTCCTAAAAACCATGCAAGGAGTAAATTGGCATATTTCTGAACAGGGGTAAGAACCAGGCACCTGTTAATGCAATGCAACTCATTTTGCAACAGATGGCTTCAGCTTTCTTGGGATCTGCATGGTTAGAAGGAAACAGGAGGTGCAAAAAGATCAGAGATGAAGCTGTGCATACCTGTCTCTGTCTCTCCTCTCGCTGTCGCGTCCAGAGCGCTGGCTGCGCTCGGATCTATCCGCCTCGCGGTGCGAGGGGGTGGGGGAGGGGGATTCCCAGTGGGAACGGCGGGAGCCGGAGTAGCCACTGTCATCTTCATCCCAGCTGGAACGAGACGGCGTGGGAGCATCTGTGCACGCAGACGTGAGAGACGGTAAAGAATATCCTGGTGTCAATACATCAGAATGCTTGCATGGAAAACCAAGGAAATAAGGACAATTAAACACACAGAGGTCTTGATAAAGTCCATTCCTAAACCTATGACATTTCAGATAGGTATTTATATAGTGAAGTGGTACATTACAAACAAAGTTTCTTCGAACTCATTTAGAAACTTCAACGTCAATTGACAGATGTTTGTTTGGACATTGCATCCAATGTGTTGCACAGTATTTCATTGATAATGAAATAACTAACACTTCTCCCCCTCAAGAATTAAGAACTATCTTGTAGTAACCACAAATGATTCTTTTAATCCACCTTTCTATCCTAACACCTCAGACGAAACGTGTCAAGTCTTAACTCCCATGAGAACTGGTGTGCGAATAAGCACAAGAGTAGTTGAAAAGGCCGATAGTATAGATAATATTGAATAAGCACACCTTTGTCAAATAAAGACAAAAAGTATTAGATGAAATAATCAAAATTGATCATACGTACTACCAAAGACAGAGTGCTGCATTTTAAGCAACAGATCTGCACAGCACGATATTTATGCAGGGAGTGCTCATGGTTTTTGTCCCCGACGCCACGTGCTTTCTGCTCTCCAGGCACACGATGGCGGCAGTAACCTAAAGGCGGCAGTGGGGAGAGAGATGCAGACCTCTGGGCCGATGTCTGGGAGACTCGAGCTCCTCCCTGCGGGAGCCCCGGCTGCTGCGCTCGGACACGCCGTCCCTCTGCGAGCGCTCCCTCTCGCTGCGGTCGCCCCTCTCCCGGCGGCTGCCCCCGCCGTGCTGCCCGCGCTCCCGCTCCTCTGTGGGGACACAAGCACGCACACGCGCTACCACACCGGGGCTGAACCAGCGGCCGCGCCCACAGCCCAACAACACTCCTCGTTCATCGCCTGCAGGCGTCAGCAGCCCAACCTGCCGTTTTCTCCCCTCGCTGAAGTCACTCCGCAGGATAGCTTGGAGCTTAACAAAGATGGAATGAGGCTTAAGAGCCCTCAAGAATGCTCTTCACGGGAACAGATCAGGATCATTAAGCAGCATTACAAAACTAAACGATTTGCATAATCCAAATTTACTAGAGTGGGAAACAATTTCTTAACACCAGTTTTCTAAAGAAATGCAGCAATGATGACACAAACGTCTAAATTATTACAGAAATTCTACATTCATGGAATGCATGCTAAGGAGTATTCTTATAGGTTATGAGATCAGGGTTAAGCTAAAAGAGTTGCGAACCTACCTCTCTCACTCCTTCGCTCCCTGTCTTTGTCTCTCTCCCTGTCCTTGTCCCGATTTCTCTCTTCCTTGGAGGAGGCATACACCCCATGTTCTCTTCGCTCCTTCTCCCTCAGCTGATGTTTCCGGCGGAACTCCTCACTCACCCCGCCTGGGTTTGAGGGGGTCTCAGAACCAGTCACCCGATACTTCCTGGAACGCAGCAAAAATTGTCTAAATCTAAAGCACCTCTGTATAGCACCTGCTGCAAACAGAGGCTTGGACTACTGAGACAACGTCAAATGCAATGCACACGCTGATAGCAAATTAGACTTTCTTATGAAGACAGAGAAAAAAGATTCAATAAATCATTATAGTATCATTTTGTATTAGTTTTTAGCCTTGGCAATTGCGCATATATCTAGCATACAGTTACGACAGTAAGGCAAAAGTCATATTAATAATAATTCCTTGCATTTATAGTTTTTTTTTTCCATCCCAATGAAAATCCCAAAACATCACCCTAAGAAAGACCCACTCCATCCATCACTGAAACGCTGCACCTCAGTGGGAGAAACATGGAAGCATTTATATGCCAGCTTCCTCTACATAACATTAGTCATATTCATGCCATCTGAGCTGACCAACACTGACAGACTCAAAATTGGAAAAAATCTACAAACCCAAACAAAACTGCTAACCTTTTCATAAGTAAACATGACATTTAATAAGTAGCTTTGAACCACATTCTCTATTAAAATTAAATATAAAGTTAGATTTTCATTTTGCTAGGTAAATCCATGAATTGGAAAAAGACATAAAGGAAGGCACATTCATCTCCACGACAGTGAGAGCTACGAGTGAATTTCTGGACCGTCTGTGATTTCGCAATCTAACATAAATGATACCTAGAAAAATAAAAAAATAAAAAGAAGTGAAAGTGGCTGTTTTATCCAGGCTAAATTTGTCTGAACATTTTTCACAGGACTTGTTCACTCACCTCTCTTTCTTCCTGCTCCCAGACTCGTCCTCCCCGCCATCTTCATCTGACCCCGAGTCGTCTTCGCCCTCCTCCCAGTCCCGATACGACGACACCTTGGACTTCTTCGCCTTCTCTCCCTCGGCTTGCCGCTCCCTCTCCTCGCGCTCTTTGCGTTTCTGGGAGGCCAGCAGGTCCAGCCCCAGCAGCGAGGTGCGAGGAGCGGGCGCCCGGAACACGTGCTGTTCGGCCACAGCGGCCTTCTTCTTCACGATGAGACCCCCCGTCTGGCCCTCGGGGTCGCTCCCCTCCAGTCTGTGCAACGAGGCATCATCTTCCATCTCCGCACACAGGCCCTGCAGTCCTGCCAAGACCGGCACCAAACCAAATCAAGGAAACGCCCCCGACTCCTGGTGTCGAACGGCCTGAAAACCCAAGCGTGCCTTCCAAACGGAATCTCACAAGACTGGTGACAGAGATGTGCTTTTCTGAGCAGGGCTAGTCTCCAGTGCCAGACAAGATTACTGTGGATATTTGTAAATTACCCATTTTCAGCTGTAAGAAATAAAAAAATAGATCACCTAGCCGGTTTGGATAAACCTGTATTCTATGATCACACAGGCAAGATGAAGATGATGCTTTATTTTTCAAAGGAAAAAAAGACCTCCTGACTGCAGCAGGAAAAGGCTCTAATGCAATTAAAACGGCCTTGACAACACACAAATATGTTCCATCTCAGAAAAAATGTGAACATTACAAAGAAGCAGAATTTAAATATTAAGGGCTATATATTGACAGAACAAAACACGATACAGCTAAATAAGGCTTAAATGATTCAAAGAAAATCATTTTGCTATGTGAATGTCACATGAACGTGAAACAAAAACTTTTTCACCATAAAAATGGTTTGACAAAGCTTACGTTGACCTGACCTGTGGTTAAATATTTTAATGCAAACTGTATTTCTTTCAGCAAGTAGTTCAGGTGGGTAGCTGCGTCGGCATGCGTACGCTGCAAAGGAACAAGTAAAGGTTTATTCCATGCTGAAAAGAAAAACGGAAACACAACGTTTTGACTCAAACCCGACGAAGGCTCCGCAGCCGAAAAGTTGTTTCACTTCTTCTCTTTTCAGCATGGAATAAACCTATTACTTGTTTCTTTCAGTAATAATTGCATATTCTTATTCACTAATTGATTTATGTTGGAATGCTTGTGAGGACCATTACAAATTGGCTCCCCAGCAAGAGATCGTTGATATCCCCCGCCGTACTCTCCATAAACAAGACTGCTAATGACTAAAACTGCGATTAAACTGCCATTTGTATTACACAGGAGGAATACAAGCAGTACTGTGAATAGTAATGCTGAATATACTGGCGTCGTTAATCAGCTTGAAAACCTAAAATGAAAATTTCATTTAGCATTCATCAAAACCTCATATAACCCAATTATATTTTATTTATTTGGAATCGGAAACGTACGTGAAATATAAACGTGTTCTCTAAAACTGAAAACGAACAAAATCGAATTCATATTGACATAAAACGAATTCGTTTACATTCACAAACAGCAAATAATGTGCGAAGAGATGTTCTAACGGCCATGTTCTCTCAACACACAATCTGCGTAAAAAACACACCCCTTTGCGAAATATTTACAATATCTTACCTTACTGTAATAAAGGATTAGAAGATGTCCACTTGCTGGTTCGATAATTAAATAAATTTATTTCCAACCGTACAGTAACTATTGGCCCCGACATCAACACTGTAGGCAGCCATTTCAATCCCACAATTCCCAGTTTCAAGAAAAAACTTTATTAATCGAAGTCTTCCGGACACTGTGGCGACAGAGGAAGTGAATTTATTGTAATGTTTTGGCAGTAGTTATTATGGGGCTTCTGACTCGTCTTCTTAAAAAAGCATTGTTGTTTAATGCATGTGTATATTTTATAAGAGGCAATGTATTGTTTGCGTATCAAAAACATTGTATATTTCTTTTTTTTTTAACAAAGGACAAACTCCCAACGAGCTCTCCAATTGTACATATATCACTTATTTTAACAGGAAAAATGGTAGACTCCCATAAAATACGTGTTTAGTAATCTGGGCGATTTCGTCGGTGCAGTCTTGTGTAAATGTAAATCAGATGTATAGTTAAAACACTATGCTCTCATTGTGAAGCTTATTCACCGAGATAACCCATAAACGCATTATGTTAGGTACGACTACGTTGACTACACAAAGTATACAGAAACATAATTGGTGCTCTTATCGATTTGTATGTTTAAAAGTGTTAATGTACGATTTAAGAGGTCGTATTTCACAATATGTGGTGGCAGTTTTTCCCCCCCCAGCATTAAAATAGTCTTATTAATGTGACCATTATTAAACTTCAAACAAATTCTTATACAGTATATACACATTTCAATTCATTATAAAAATACAAATAAAATAATTCAGTATTATTCTTCACATTTAAATAAACACATTTATTCATCTCGCTTTTTGACAGATGCCTATTTAAATGTAAAATAGGCAGAGCCAGCTAAACAGGTGTTGTATGACAATGTGACAATGTATCAATGGCTTTTGAAGGCCCACAAAATGCACTGTTGGTCACAAACGACACATCTAACGTTCTGAGGTAAAAGATGGCACCGTAGGCAGTAAAAGTAAAGATCTGCCAATCTCACATCAGACAACTAATTTTGGCAAAAAAATCCCATTTAAAAAGTTACAGATTACAAATGTTAAATGGGCAATAAATTCTCTACACCCAATATAACCAACAATCCATCTTTTACTGGTTGAGAATTAGTGTAACCTGTTAACAGAAGAATCTTTTACTTCAAATATTGTTTTACTGACAACTTTTCAATCTGCTTAGGTTTTCACATGAGCCCTTTCCTATTCATTTAGGTTTTTACGCTATTACTGGGTACTGTACATTACTGGATGTATAAGAAATTATAAATGTTATAGAACCAAATTCATCATTTTATACATAGAAACTGTTAGCCATGGAAAAAAAGACTTACATTTACCAGTGATTTGTTTTGCCTGCGGACAAAAATGGCCTCCTCTGTAATAAATTAATCAAGCGGACAATTTTCCTGCACAGAAAACTGGTCTGAATTCTTGAATTTTGACAAATTAACTTCAAACATAAATCCAAGGCAAAGTCCCACAGAACTAAGTATGATGTAGATCTTCAGAAATTCAGAGACTTGGGACTTAATTTTCAAAGTATTATCTTAGATTGTCATTTTTCTATAAGAAGAAAAAGTTTTACTACAAATCTTTACTGAAACACCAGATAGCGAGGAAGGAAGAGGAATAAATCCTAATCCCAGATTAGCTGTTTCTTATTTTTTTAATATAGCTATCAGATGGTCATTCATCTTCCAATCACCACAAATAAATGAAGTACAATTCTGAAAACTGTTAACAAGTTTCATCTTGATGATATTTCTACACAACAACTAGATGGAAAACTCACAACAGACAAAATAATTGCAATAATCACTGCAAAGTTTTTGCGTAGTAGCTTCAACAGCTCAATAATTTGCTTCAGGGAAACAATGAATAAATGAAAAAATAAGTGAATGTTAATCATCATTTGTAAGAATGGCTTTGAATATTTTATCCTTAGGACACTGTAAATTATCCCCTTTTAGAAGAAAAATAACCAAATATGTAGGAGAAGAATCAGAAAAGTCATCAAAAGTTTGAATGTTTTTAAACATTAAATAACAGAATTACAACAGTACAGTGCAAAATAATGACAATTTGTTTAAAAAAGACCTTAAGTGAAATAGAGACCCATACATATCCTGAGAATACTATATTCTGTTGGGGAAATTAAAACATGAAAAAGTTTAAAAGCTGTACATGAGGAAAGTTATTTTTCCAAAAGAAAGCATTCCTATGTTAAACTTCCAGAGAAAAAAGCTATTCTTTTGTATTTCAAAATTTTTAATGATCTGAATCACTAACATCTTGGGAAATTGAATTTCATAACAACTATGAACTACTGTAAAGACATATTACAAGCTTCATTTTTATTTATTCTGTGTTAATATAAAAAATAAAAACTGACCTCATACTACATTAAAGAAAAAAAAATTTTGGGTCATGCTGCATTACAGAATTTTCATGCCCCGACTCGAAACTTCAATTACCAATTACAAACAATAAGTTCAGTACAAGATGCATTCTCCTTTAAACCACACAAAAACCCTTGTACTGGATCTTCATATTTCTTTTAGCATGAGGGCAGTAATTAATCTTGGTCTGAATAAATTTAATCTCTAACATCTTCATCTTTTTAACCAGATTTCAATTTAAGTGTTTTGGTTGTTGTTAATTCATTAGGAAAATTCCATGAAAAACAAAAAAAAAGTGTTTTTTTGCAGAGATCCAATATATAAAAATGTATCACTTTATCAATGGAGCTACTATGATAATCTTATACAATCACTACATTATGTTTCTTCTACCCAAGGCATCGTTTACTAACATTACATAACTGCTGGTTTTTATCTCAAACCAACATTCTTGGGGTAGATAAGCTAACAGCCATTACTCAAAAACAAAACAGCTAAGCATCTTCCGTATACTGTTTGCTTCTACAAAACCATAATTTGGAAAAGAGTCTTAATTGAGATTAAGTGCCTCAAATTTATAAGACTAGGAATCAGGGTTTACCGAGCTCTTGCAGACATGATGATATTATTTTCTATTGTACAGTACAAACACAGGGCAAGAAAATGAAGAAACATACAGGATCTACATGTCTAGACATATGAACCGTTTTCTAGCAAAAGCTTAGTAAATCTGTTCCGGAAAGTTTTCAAACACTTTAAAAACACAGTACAAGAAAACTGAAAGAATGGAGAGCACATTGCCCTAAAATACCAATGTTTGAAATGGTACAGAAAAAGCCCAGAGCAACTCCACAGACAGTGACTGTACCACTATGGGGAAAAGGGAAAACAATGAGCTCTAAAGGCAAGTACACTGAAACCTAAGCAGGGCAATATGAACTCCACTCTCTGCCCTCTACCCGAACACAGAGGCAGGTAATGGAGACTGGGAGGAATGGTTCTGTAGAGAAGCCCACAGACTGTAAGTGCTGCAGTATGAGAGCTGGGACCCGTGTCTGGCTTATTCAGTGATTCATAAGGAGTTCAGTCAGGCATGTCGAGGCTTCAAGGTCAGACGAATGTGGACGATGTGGAAGGGTTCAGGATGTCTTGTTTTCCAGCAGGTAGTAACGATACATCAGACCAACAACAGCAGCAGCAATGGCTGGGATCAACCAGGTAGTCCATGTACTACAAAAAGGAAGAAAAAACATTGTGGAAATGCTGCACAGTAACATTGCATTTTTAAGAGTTGTTTTTATAAATATTAGAAAATAAAAATAGCCTTGCTTTTTAAAGGCGTGAAAGCAGAGAATATAAAAATATACTGAAAACTGTATCAGATATTCAATTTAAAAAAAGTTATTAGTACAATAACAGCATTTTGCACTGGAAAAGAGAACAGATGCAGTCTTTCGGTAAGAGTAAAATGTTACATATTCAATTACTTTTTGCTTTAGAGGGCACTCTGCCAAATAGATGTTTGGATATTAAACAAATTGGATCATGTTTACAAAGTCTCTTACTCAGGGAAGAGTTATTCTAATTTATCAGACTTCTTTAGGAAAAAGGACATGCACATTTCAAGTAAAAAGCAAGATCATAATTCAGCATTCAAAAGATGGTATTTTAATGGTGTTTACCTAGTCTGACTTGTAGATGTTGTAATAAGAACATCCTGAAAAAACAACAAGTTATTAAAATAGTGAACAGCCATAATGCATATTCAATACTGACAGTGTGGCTTTGTACATTATTCCAACCTCTTAAGCTTAATATTGCCTCAAAAGCACATAGTTTCTCTTACAAATGTCTCAGTAATTAATTGGATGGGGTAACAAACTTCGGGGTGAATGCTCAATTCTAAATTACTGTACCTCCAACGCCAAAAATAAGACAGACGTTTGTGCTCTTGTCTATAAAGTTACCTTTCATATTTCAATTTACTTAGCAATAGAGAAACATTCATGTAATTAATAAAAATAAAATACTAAAATAAAAAAGATTTTATGTGAACAACATCTAAATGAATATACTTTTAATTCTTCCATACTAAACCTGTCATAAACTAGATCCTGAGACTGTACCTTAGAGTTTTCATTCTTGCGGTCATTCTGAAAGGCAAAGAAAAACATGATTTTCTACAATATCTTATACAACTTGATCACTGTTCAGAATATCAAGGTGACTTATTAAGACCTACCATTATTTTTAATGAATAATCACTACTTCTTGCATTTAATATCTAACGTCCTGCTTTTGTAACTTAATATAAAAACTGCCCGACAATAAATATGTTAATGGGAATCGGGTTACACAGAGAAACTGAAGGAAAAGTAATTCTTTACTGAACATCTGAGTTTCAGTAAAACCTTGTAATACACCAGCATTTGGTCACATAAGACTGGGACGTGTATCCCAGTGCTTCAGAAACAATGAAATGTATTTTGTTTATAAGTAAATAGAAATGTTAATGGTCATGTGATCATGTTCTCAAAGATCAAGGCAAAAAAAAAAGAGGAATGGAAAACTTTACCATGTCAAGCTCTCCTATAAAATACTGCTTGAGCATCTCCCTGGCATCTGTGGAGTGGCCCACATCCTCGAAGCTCTCAGTGGCATCTCCCCCAGCCTGCTCCAACAGCACCTCCTCCCCTCCAGGGTGCTGAAACAGTGAAGGCAAGACGGACTCAGTGCCTTCCACATGTCAGAGCCGCAGTGTGAAAAAACACCCTGTGCTTAACCCCTGGCACCGTAACTACCCGAGGATAAACAGGCAGGCATTCTGCAGGTAAACGTCAGGGGGAAAAAAAGCAAGTAGTTCTCATCCTTGAAGCATAAGAGTATTGTTAAACAAACTCATTCGACTCGGTACCTCCCTGTAGTACATACTGTACATCCTTTCATTTTAAAACTCTAACTGAACATGAATCCAATACAATCTGAAATACTTGACTGTTCCATGGTGGTATTCCATTCCAGTCAGGACTAATTCACAGTGCACCGTATTGTAAATATACCAACTAGGTATATTTAGATTTGCAAAAGTATTTTATCTAAAAGGTCCTCACAAATGATCCGTTCTCAAATTTTGGGCAGCTGGCATTCAAGAAAATAATAATAATAATAAAATAATAATAATAATAATAATTGCTTACACTTATATAGCACTTTTCTGGACACTCCACTCAAAGCGCTTTACAGGTAATGGGGATCCCCTCCATCACCACCAATGTGCAGCATCCACCTGGATGATGCGACGGCAGCCATAGTGCGCGAGAACGCTCACCACACACCAGCTCTCAGTGGGGAGGAGAGCAGAGTAATGAAGCCAATTCATAGATGGGGATTATTAGGAGGCCATGATTGGTAAAGGCCAATGGGAAACTTGGCCAGGTCGCCAGGGTTACACCCCTACTCTTTTCGAGAAATGCCCTGGGATTTTTAATGACCACAGAGAGTCAGCGAGGAATCGTCGTTCGCCATTAAAACTGATTCTAAGCACCAACTCCTTTAGGGTAAAGCACATTTTTGTGGACATAAAAATAAATAAATGGTTCCGTAAATGTGGTCATGTACCGCACCACGTGGAAATACGTTTTAAAGAAGTTTGATAAGTGGACTGTGCACTTCCGGGTTCGTGCAGCTTATCAGTGTGTACTGCACGTTATGGAGCTGGTTTCCATGGTTATCATCCATTTCTCCGGTAATGGCCTTATTTTAGACGTGATCATAGGTCACTTTGTGCCAGAGACCCTTTCCCGCTGTGCTAAGGCTTGTTCAGTTGTAATAAATGAACGGGTTTACTCAGTAATTGCTCTTCAATAGCAGCCTCTTAGAAATTCATCAAACAAGACCGCTTCTGTCAAAGGTGGTGGTGGTGGTGGTGGTGGGGGAGGGGGTGATCCCTACTTAAAACTGTTACGCAAGTTGCTCAGGCCTCATGTGGGACACACAGCGAATGGTCACAGGGCACGTCATCGTGTTTGGATAAAACGTTTTTCTTCGCTTTCCCTGAAAAACAGATATTTCTGAGTTTTCCCTCACTTAAGAACCGCGCGTCAAAAAGGCTGTGGAGGCAACGTGCGCCTGCGCCTTCCGGTTTCCCTGTAATTTCAGTAATCATTTTGGGTGTTGTAGTTTATCCTTTTCCGAAACGCTTATAATTAACGATAGAGATTTCTTTTAAGCCACAAGACTGAAGACGGGGCCTTATGTTGAAGTGCTTACCTCCTCCAGAAAACGGGTGATGTCATAGACTTTATCGTGGATGACAAGCCAGGTATCCCTGCTCATATTGTGTTTCTGAATTTCTTCGAGGGTGTAATACGTAACCGTGCTTTTCGAATTAGCTTCTGTGTTGTTTTCCTCTCCCATTCTGTTTTTCGGTGGCCTGTTTGATTTTGCTGACTGGAAAAAAAAAATAACCAGAAAGATTCAAAGTGCAGAACCGTGCCTTTATGTACAGTACCCTTAAGACACGCCAGCCTCGAATTTCTCGGGATGAGAAAAAGACTTGTTTTCCCCACCCTGGCCACCGTATCAGTCTATCAGCTGACTCCTGATTTGAGCCAACAGCAGTCCCAGGCTATGACAGGCCAATGAAAGATTCAAGACTCAGTGGGGTGGTCCATCACCGCTGGGCGTGCAAGAGATCAGCCAATCCAAAACACCCGCTGGAGCTCAGTGGCGTTCACACCATAGAGAACCATAAGAATTTCGTCCCTGCCCCCCTTTCGGTATCAGAAGTGACATTTTGGTCAAGATCACCTGATTTATTATTGCTCTTTTTCTCAATTAAACGCGTTTTTCTTTCTTTTAATCACTATGCACAAGTCGGTGACACATAGCCAATTACAATTCTAACTAAAACCCTTAGTTGTATTCCAGGCTGATTCAACCTGAAACAAAACCATCATTTCAAATAATCGTTTGTATTCATACCCCAGACCTGTGACTTGAGATGGTCAGTGATGCATGACACTCATAACGGATAGACCACTAATCAATCTTATCTTATCTCATGAGTCCGTTTACAGTCCAAAACTGTGTGCATTTAAAAAAAATTTAAATCATGATCGCTTCAACTGATCTCCACTAGGGGGAACCCGTGTTCCACAATAGCATTGTGATAACATTATTTTGAGGTTTTTCACAGGAAAGTTTCTGCTGTAATACAAAGTTTTTTTAGATCAATGTTCGAGGTGTTATTGAAAACTATTCATTTTATTTATGTTCCAAATTTTAGGGATGAGAGGACGCTCAGATCTTGTGAAAAAAACTCATTGTCATTCTAAGGAGCTCGGATTTGTAATTAATTGTAATCCGAATTAAATCATTGTAATTAATTAATTAACAGGTTTTCTAATATGAGTCTTGGCTTAAAATGTGAAAACGCAACAGAAAAAGTATTCCTCAGTTTTGTCAGATTTAAATGGTCTCTCTTATTGTAAACATCGTTTTGCACTGCTTGACAGAATATGTCTGATGGTGGAATTTGTAATACCCTAACTTTTTGACCTGGTTACATGGTGTGCAATCATCGTTACTGATAACTGACAATATTCAGGTAAGTTAAAGAAATGAAAGAGGAAAAAACACTTCCTACAACATAAAATTGACCATTATGAACTGACTTCACTCATATACAGTATATACCTATATTTTAACAACAAGGAACAAGGAAAAGCGGTGTGAAAATGAGCTGATGACTGTTCATATATGCTTAGATTTTGTCATTGTAACATTTTTCAATGGACAGCATGCAACATCCATAACTCTTCGGTAAATAATCAATTGTAGAAAACTGAGAAAGCAATGCCGTATTTTGTCTCTTATTATTTTCCTTGATTTCAGTTTATAATTCAATTTTTCACCATTTGTAAGTGACACACTATCTTACTGCCTTTAGTACTTGTAAGTAATCTAGAATTAGGAAATTGTCCTTGTTAAGAGAGAGATATTGTTTGTTAAAAGCTGTGGTATTTTCAAACTGTCCCCACACCAATTAAAATGTTTACATGTGGAGTCTTGTATAAAAATATCATAGCATTGTACATAAAAAATAATTTAGGAAGCAAAAGGAGACCGTTCTGTATTGTACAATGAAATGGTATTGCCCATTTCAATGCTACAAATTAAAAAAAGTCTTTGAGTACAGGATGCTGGAAGTACAGTAGTACTCCTCTCTCTAACCTTGTGAAACAGAAAGTGAAGCTTTCACTGTTTCACCAAAGGGACACACATCTAATGTTGTGGGTAAACATTCTGTAGTAGAGGGGAGTCAGGTCAGGGTAAGAGCATCCAATTTGCTCAAACAACAGGAGAAAACCATGCTCTGTGACAGGAGACAGGAGTAGCTTGTGCCATTAATGTGCTGCATGTTATCCTTTCAGAAGCTAAAGGTGCACGCCGGAGGAAATGGCCATTTTCAGTACATGAAACTGCTGTAGTGAATAGCCACAGAATGAGGTTATATCCTAATTAATAAGATCTATAAAATCAGCTTTACAATGATATTTTTTTTAAGTAGAATGTGGACCTTTTCGTTTTTTTATGGAGTCTTTCTTCTTCTCATATTACAGAAAAATACATCAGCCCTTTCGATCAAGCGCCACAATTATTCTCACATAGTAATGAAAAATACCTATTTTTTTTTTAACTTTGAATTAATATACAGTACTGGCACAGAAGCCAGTCCAGATGGGTCTGTGATGCATAGATAGTGCATAGATACGTTTTACCCCTAGTCTTCATTAGGAGGTGCAATGATGCATCCTAGTTCCAAGCAGATAAAGTTACTTGTTTTTTCACTCATGTGTACACACATCGAATTAGAGGCTATAGCTGGTTAATTCTTCTTATGTCTCTCTAACAGCAAATTTGTTTACTCCCTTCTGAAAGATTAGCATAAATTAAAGGCAATCTATCCAGGAGCAAGAAAAAAAAAACACTGCCTTGGAAGAATAATTAGTTACTGTCTCTGATATAAATGTATGTGTATTTGAACATTTGTGCAGCCAAGAGGAGATAGTGGGAGGTTTAAAATCCTGACAGTAAATGGTGTGTTGCACTGTAAACAAATCTCTTTATGCAAAAAAAGCTTTAACAGTATATGCTTGCACTTGTAATTTAAATACTGTGATGAGGAGGACAGTTCTATCAGCTTAGTAATATGTTGTTTGTCATAGGTGAAAAGTGAAGAAGGAAAACAATAGCTGAACAGTGGCATTGCGTGATTAGGTGTTTCAGTGTTCAGCTGAGTACAGTACTTTCCATGAACTAAAATAGTTCATCATTAACCCCTGCTTCTTTCATCCTACACAGATCTACGTTCTGCAGAAAAGTGATTTCACCCCCATTTTGAAAAAGAGAGCTGGCTCATTATCTTGCAGGTGGATGTCTGCTACGGTGATTTGCTTTTCTGGGTCTTTTTCTTCTCCCGGGTTGTGAGATATGAGCCAACACTAATCTTGCCACTGCACGTTTTCACACTGCTCACACTGCCAGCAGGTCGAGCTCTGCACTAGTGCGACTGGGAGACTGGCCAACTCACCGGTGATACGACTGACGGGGGGAACACAGATAAAGGGGGGCACAGCTACCACTGAAATGGCTTTTCCTTGAAATGAATTAAATTCAGACATGCTTTAGACATGAGCTATCAAAGGGCCAATGCTTTTGTGTATTGGCAGGGATTTTATTTAAATCGATTAAATAAGGGAGATTTCTTTTCTGCCTCCTACAAGTAGGCACAGATATCCCTGTTGCATATATTAGAATGTTTCCACAGCTGCAGGTTTGTTGCGAGCCCTCTGCTTTTAATAAATAACAAAAAATGTATTCAAAAACAGACAGACCTGTTTTACAAAAGTCACTACATCGGGGCCACATTTACCTTTGGAAGTCGATCAAAGGGCACTCTTTTATTTGTGCTTGCAAGTGCAGTCTCAATAGAACTAAAACACAAGGCACTATGTGCAAGGAGCACAACCTAACAGTTGCATAGCGATGGGATGTACCTTACATGCAAACTTATCAGGAATGGTCATTGGAATGGAATATTAATAGAATATATATATGCCTCTGAGCCCATAGCTTCTGAATAAAGAGCAGGTGAAATTCTAGTAAAAGCAATATTGTGCTACTGTAAACAACTGCATTCAGCAGCATCCTTAGCTTTTTGTTGAAGACAGTGTGGGGGCACCAGACCTTGATCTCCTAGTCCCAAGGTGGGTGTATGATTTACAGGACTTAAATAGACTAGGGCCTGGACTCATTTGGCCACACCATGGGTATGCCAATTTATCACTCAGTTGCTAAATGGTTAATTGCACAATGATTCAGCGCTTGCCTCAGGGCTTCAGGTACTGAAAGAACTTTACCACATTCCTTGAACTCCTGTCATTTCACTCCATAGCCTGCTCACTGCAGGATATTATGTAAATAGGGCTCTTCAGTCCTTGGCTGTGAATAGATGAATTCATAAGCCATTGAAAACTGAAACGAGCTGGAACACAATGTTCACAGGCCTCTGGCAGTGCACATACTCCACTTTAAATAGCTTCTCTCTGCTGCCTTCATGGCAGAGTTAATAGAAAAGCTTTGTATGTAGTACTCTAAATGAAAGGTTTAGAAGAAAAAAAATCTCAAGACATCACAATGATTCCGGTTTCTGGTCTCCCATGGACAATTTTATTATATTCTCAATTTTCATAGCCACACTGGTCCATCCACAAGCTGATGTTCCAAACGGTCTCTTTAAATTTCAAAATACATCTGAATTTCAGTTCAGCAAGCATTACTGTAAAAAGGGCGATTGAAACAGACAGGAAGCTCCAAATGGATAGCTAATTGAAAGAAAGCTTTCTGAAAACCTAAGAAGTTTAAGAAAATGCAATTCTTACAACATCAATATACAAACAAGCTCAAAAAACAGGTATCAGAAAAGCGATGTGCCGAGCTGATGTGTGAATCACTCTGGAGATTGAAAGAGGTAACTCACAGATGCTCTGAGAAGCCTCCTCTACTGCCATGCTGCACTGACTGCCCGTGGATCTGAGCAGCCCGTTTTCTGACAGCGTCTAAGCGGGAGGTGAGATTGATACTGAAGCATCAAATGTTTAACAGGGAAAAAAAAATCATTGCACTGAGAAGAGGAGTTTCATCGTCTACACTTATCATCTCATTCTCCATGATTCAAAGAGTTTTTTTAGATGTAAAAACTCTGTAAGGGAGATTTGAGGGGCAGAAACACTCTCTTCTGTGAATCAGTTTCTGATTAAAGAGCCAGAGCTTTGAAGGCTTATCTAAATTAAAAAATAACCAGACAAAAAATCCTGTTAGAACTGCTGCTACTGATGTATTTCCACAACACCTTCTTTGGTCTAAGTTGTCTTGGGGAAAAATTAAGAGTTGATGCCTAATTGCAAGACTAGTATGTATTCCTTGGTGGACTTTTACATCATGTACAGTGTAATTTAACATTTAAAAAGGGTGATCGGTCATGACAGTTTAGAGCAAGTGGAAGCAAATTCCTAATGCCTACAA